ACTTACTGCAACTTTTGCCTGATCATCCTGCTGTACTTGTAGCACTTGTGTTGTACATCCGCATTTTTGCTTTCAGGATTTTACCATCACAACTGCCAATTTCTCTTTCAACATCCTGTTCTATCTATTGTACAGCTGGGGTAGCTGCAGCACACACATACCAAGCGATCCACTCTGGGTCATACAGTGAGTCGGTGGGAAAGCCAGCAATAGAATCCATAAGTCCCGCATCCAAGTTCTCTAAGTGCCTTGACTAGTCCAGATTCCCTCCTTAACACCCTTGTCAAATTGTTTATAGGAGATGTATTCATATAGTCCGTAAGACATCAAAATTTTCTAATTATATCTAGTCATGTCAAATGACAATTATGCCCTTAGTTCAGTTTGCCAGACAATGCTTTACCAAAGAAGGCTTGCCAAAAATTTTTTGACCGAAGAAAGAGTAGGCATCTGTAGCATCTGCAGATGAGATCGTATAAAATGTCCCTGCAGCAAGAGTGCCCTGTCTCCACGGAAAGCTCCAAGGTAAGTGGATGGGGTCCACAGCCATGCAGGAGTCTTTCTGTGTTACAGCATTCCTCTGCCTCCAGTGCTCGTTTCCAGGAGGAAGCTCAATTCCTCAGCTCGAGTTTTAAATCTGCTTTCAAGACACCTGCACATTTTCACTCTGGAATTCTGTGCCAAGTAGGAACTTGCCATTTCTGTTTTGCAGCACTGACCAGCTGCCAGGCTGTGAGCCACCCATCTGGTAGCACGAGAGGTAAGAACCTGATTTATTCATGCTTTTGGGTGGGATTTCTGTATGGATGAGCGATCGCCTTTTTTTACCCTGCATTCAAAGCCAGTGTGATTACAGTAGGCAGCTGGTGGGTGCTCATGGCTGGTGAGGTTTTCAAAAGGTTGTATTTCTATCTTCCTGTCTCTGATGGCAGACCAGAAAATTCCCATTGGAATACTCTTCATTTCTGCTTAACTGACCAAACAGGGAGTGAGGCGTGCCAGCTTCACATCATTGCAGCAGTAGAACTGGAATAAGATGAACAAAGGAGGAAAAAGTGCAAAACTGTATATTTTTCATCAAAATGTTATCAACAACTCATCAGACAATACTGACCTTCTTACCATCTTTGTACATCTTTGTAAAATGTTGAAGCTCTTTCAAATATCCATTTACCAGACCAAAAGCAAAACAAAACCTTCTTAGCTAATGAACAGAGGGAATAAATTTCACTAACATAGCTAGAGAAATTTCAAGTGCAGCTGGAGAAATCTAGATATCCACATTTTTAGTGAAGCATCTGAAGAAGCACTCTTATTTTATTGAAGTTTTGAGAAGTCACCTGTTCCTGGATTTTTTCAGTATTTATTTGGGAGCTTTGTCCAGCTATGGCAATTTCAGTTTCAGTGCATGAATTTTGTTTCATACAAGTCAGAACTTTGAAGATGAGACTATTTGGGTATTGTACTCATGAATGACAAATGTCTAAACAAATTGAATTACAGCAGAGTGTTAAAAGGTCATAGATCCTGCCCTTTTCTTTCTGCTGGCAACTTCAGCAGCAAAATTCATTAATTTCCACTGCCTTCCTATTACAATTATAGTTAATAAGTATATGCCCCATAGGTTCAATGTTTTTCAAGACTGTAGGTCTTTTATACTACATGTTTATAGAAGTGTTTCTTTGTCTTTAAACAAAATGCTTCACCTTTATTTCAACTGCTGGTAATGATGTCTTAAAATAAAACTTGCTCAGCAACTTCACTCATCTTACAGACATGATGTTCTTAAAGCCCCAAGCCTACAATTGTTAAAGGTGATCAGATACAGCTCTTCTAGACATCTGAACACATAGACTTCATCAGTTATGAGCTCTTGTTTCCTAAGTCAACCTAAGTCAATCAAATCTTCCATTAGGACACGTTAGATACTCCATATAGTACAGGCTGAAGAAAAACAAAGTCACAGTCAGTCTCCCAGTCTGACAGAATATATCTAAATGATCTGTGCCACATTACTTCTCCCCATTAGAATATTCTGCTGAGGTGCCTTCAGTGAAGAGCAGCCATGGCTTCTTCAGATGCTGAGATGGCTGTCTTTGGAGAGGCAGCTCCTTACCTCCGAAAGTCAGAGAAGGAAAGAATTGAGGCCCAGAACAAGCCTTTTGATGCCAAGTCATCTGTCTTTGTGGCCCATCCAAAGGAATCCTTTGTGAAAGGGACAATCCAAAGCAGGGAAACAGGGAAGGTCACTGTCAAGACTGAAGCTGGAGAGGTGAGAAAAAAGCAAGCTTCAGATCAGCATTTAATCATCACTCTGAGCTTTTAGCTGACATAGGCAGATCTTTCACTTCCTTTACAGACTCTGACCGTGAAGGAAGATCAGGTCTTCTCCATGAACCCTCCCAAGTACGATAAAATTGAGGACATGGCCATGATGACCCACCTCCACGAACCCGCTGTGCTGTACAACCTCAAAGAGCGTTATGCAGCCTGGATGATCTACGTAAGTACCAGCAGCTCTCTTCCTGGGCTGGTAGCTGGGGAGGACTGCTGTGCCAGGCTGAGTGGAAGCCAACGTGCCGTGTCCCTTCCTCGCAGACCTACTCGGGCCTCTTCTGTGTCACTGTCAACCCCTACAAGTGGCTGCCGGTGTACAACCCGGAGGTGGTGTTGGCCTACCGAGGCAAAAAGCGCCAGGAGGCCCCTCCACACATCTTCTCCATCTCTGACAACGCCTATCAGTTCATGCTGACTGGTGAGTGCTTGATCTCCTTCAAAGCAGTCTGAACTGAAGAGCCCCATTGATCTTACTGGAGTATGTGAAAAGCCAGTGAAAACATCATGGAGCTGTGTGACAGAAATTGATCAAGTTAAGGAGGAACTGATTTCAAGCAAATGGTACCAGAAGCATGCACAGCACTGTGTATTATTTCTAGCATATCATACCAAATGCTACAGTCTCTCAATGCAGAAATAACAGTGGACTCATAACTTACTTTTTTGCAATGACTGAATTCAGCACATTATTATTCCATACAGAGTTTTACTTTGAACAGAGGTAGGCACCTTGATCAGACTCCCGTGTATGAGAAGTATGAGAATGTATGTGAAGGGCAAGAAGATACACAGTTTGTGTGAGGACCATGTGCCTCTTACAGTTGTATGTATCCATTTGAGCTTATACTTGCCACTTGGGATATGGAAGGAAACCTATTATTTACTTGTGGGAATTAATGCTTGGATTTTCTGATGAAGCTCCAACTTACACTTTCAGTCAGCTCACTGCTACACAGAACAACAGCTAACACTGGACTTCCTAGGGTTTTCACTGTCTTCCGTCCCTGCAGTTCCTGCAGATTTCCATTCGTATTTGTCTCCTAGATTTTGTGTTTCTTGTTATTCATGAGCAGTAGGAAAAGCTTTATTATCTCTGTCTTTTCACAGACCGCGAGAATCAGTCGATCCTGATCACGTAAGTACGCTCCTGCTCGGGTCCCTGCGGGGCTGCCCTGTGCCAGGGGACCTTCTCCCTGACCTCACGCTCTCTGCTTCTCTGTTTGGCTCGACAGCGGAGAATCCGGTGCAGGGAAGACTGTGAACACGAAACGTGTCATCCAGTACTTTGCAACAATTGCAGCTAGTGGGGAGAAGAAGAAAGAGGAGCAGTCTGGAAAAATGCAGGTACATTAAGAGATACTGGCTTGAATCAATGTTTATTCTGTTCTAGCATGAATTTTAGAAAATAATAATTATCCAGTAATAATTGTTATCCTGTAGGGAACGCTTGAGGATCAAATCATCAGTGCCAACCCTCTGCTGGAGGCCTTTGGAAATGCCAAGACTGTGAGGAATGACAACTCCTCACGTTTTGTACGTCGCTACTGCCCTTACAGTAATGATGGGGCGAGTGATATTCTTAAATAAGGAGTTGTCCGAAGAAGCCATCCAGGCTGAAATGCTCCTCTGTTTCCTCAACAGGGTAAATTCATCAGAATCCATTTTGGGGCCACAGGCAAACTGGCTTCTGCTGACATTGAAACTTGTAAGAGACTCTCCCGGCCTGTTCAAATTCCTTCCCAAATTCCCATCGCCATGTCCCATCTTGTACTTGACTCTTGTACCTTCCTTGACAGATCTGCTGGAAAAGTCCAGAGTTACTTTCCAGCTCAAGGCAGAAAGAAGCTACCACATTTTTTATCAGGTCACCTCCAACAAGAAGCCAGAGCTAATTGGTAGGAGACATCACTGAGCTTTTTGGAGGCAGATTACAGAGCAATAGTTGATAACTTTACGAAAAGAATGAAATGTAATCTGTGAACATCCATTTGTTTTCAGAAATGCTCCTTATTACCACCAACCCGTATGACTACCCTTTTGTGAGTCAAGGTGAGATCACTGTCCCCAGCATTGATGACAAGGAGGAGCTGATGGCTACAGATGTGAGTAGTGCGTAAAACAGGTCAATTGTTATACGTCATGCATCATATTCAGACAAATATTTCACTATACTGAATCTATTACCAGAGTGCCATTGACATCCTGGGCTTCTCTGCTGATGAAAAGACTGCCATCTACAAGCTGACAGGGGCTGTCATGCATTATGGGAACTTGAAGTTTAAGCAGAAACAGCGAGAGGAGCAGGCAGAGCCAGATGGCACAGAAGGTATTGTTAAACTCAGTAGCTAATGGTCCTTTAAGCCACTCTGTGTCTTAGCCAAAGTTGGGCTTTAGAATCCCAAGGAAAACAGTAAGTCAGAAGCAGTCCCTTCTCCACCCATTGTATCAGTTTCTCTGATGTAAAATCTCTGGATTTGTCTATCGTATCCCAAATTAACAATTTAAACTGTCCTGTGTACACTGCCAGGAAGCCAGGAGCTGTGGATGTCTTTTCTGAAATGTTATTGCTCATACTTTTGTTGGACATAGCTTATAACTCTTGTGGAACAGTAAAGTAGTTCAGCCCTAACAAAATGGGTGGTCACGTTCCTTTTCTCCCTCACCTGTCAGATGCTCAGGGAACTCTGTTGTGAAAGGTGCATTTGTTTCCACTCTGTTGGGGTAGGATCTTGAAACCATGTCTCCAAATTTCTCAGTGATGGCTCCTTCTTGCCAAAGGACTGGGCAGAAGGTGGGAAGTACCGCAGTCGCATCTGAGAAAGGACAGAATCCAATGAGTTTCACTCCTGAGACATGTGCATACCACAAAACTGTTCAGCTTTCAGTTCTGTAAAATTTTAACAAAGCATCATTACATTTTGCATGCCTCAATGAAGAACTTCAAACATAAGTTCTTTCAAAAAGCTCAACACACATAATGGTTTTGATGTCACTGAGACTCTTTCTGCAGTGCTTGGAGAAGACTTCAAGATACAAAATGTTAGTAATGCTGCATTCTTCTTTTCCATCTCGCTTTGCCATTTAGTGGCTGACAAGGCTGCCTACCTGATGGGCCTGAATTCAGCTGATATGCTCAAGGCACTGTGCTACCCTCGAGTCAAAGTTGGGAATGAGTATGTGACCAAAGGTCAAACTGTGCAGCAGGTTAGAAACACAGTCACCTGAAACCATGCTTTGAATAAAGACCTCTTTGATTCTTCTCTGCTGCGTATGGTAAATGCAAACATCTGCCTTTGCTTTAGGTGCACAATGCTGTAGGTGCTCTGGCAAAGGCTGTCTATGAGAGGATGTTCCTGTGGATGGTTGTTCGCATCAACCAGCAGCTGGACACCAAGCAGCCCAGGCAGTACTTCATTGGTGTCCTGGACATCGCTGGCTTTGAGATCTTTGATGTGAGTAACAAAGATTTGTAAGAGCTGCTTGGAAGTCACATCTGGGTGTTATGACAACTTTAACATCCATATTATCATCACATAATTTATTGTAATTGTTTGGAACTTGATGAACTTTAGGGTCCTTTCCTAGCTACTCTATGAGTGTATGGTCCTATTTGCCTTTTTTTTTCTTCCTATAAAGTAGATTTGACCCTTGAAAGGATTTTTTCATGACTATAGGCTCATTTTCAAGAGGTAAAAACTCAAAAGAGCAGAATGGTTCGAACAGAAAAATTCTTTCGTTTAAATGATCAAAGACAGCATAAGAGATACAGATCATGATACAAATAACCTTTTTTCTATAGCGTGGCCTCAGATGAGGAATGAAGTATATTCTACCTTCTCAGATTTATCAAGGATTAAAATATTGTTACAAACAACGATTTTTAAGCATTTCTTAATTTTGCTACATAGACTTAAAGCTGAATTAAGAAATACGCAGGCACAACGAAACCAATACTGCCGCTTTCTGTATTTTTAAAGGATGAGGTTTTGCAGTTACTATTGCATCTTGCAAATATGAATCTTTATCATTTTACTCCCAGTTCAACAGCTTTGAGCAGCTGTGCATCAACTTCACCAATGAGAAACTGCAACAGTTTTTCAACCACCACATGTTTGTGCTGGAGCAAGAGGAGTACAAGAAGGAAGGCATTGAATGGACATTCATTGACTTTGGGATGGACCTGGCTGCCTGCATTGAGCTCATTGAGAAGGTATGAGCATAGGAATTTTACAATTACTAGAGCTCAGTTTTCAAAGGAATCTTCCATGTTCATAAGCAAATATTTAGATCTCGTTGTTCAAAAATATATTGCTGTTTAGTTTATTTCATCTGCAGGTGAGAAATTAAAGCTGTGTCACACAGCTTTATGGCAGCAGGTTTGCACTGATCTCTTCTGAAGTGCTAAAAGGTTGTTAAATTCTCAATCAAAATGTTTTCTCAAAACAGCTAGAATAAGTTCCCAGTTGAGCTTCCACCTCACCTCTCAGTTCTGACAGACTTGTGCTCCCACAGCAATACAGCTGTATCTTTGTAAAATAAACTCAGAGATGGAGATGCATAATTGATAGCAAGCAGTTGCACTTACATGTACATCCTTTGACTTAGAATAAGAAGGCAATCACATTAGATACAGGATGCAGTGTTCAGTGGCTGACAGGATGATAAGAAATTAGAATCACAGAATTTCAGAGTGCAAAGGATCTGTGAGGTCACTTAATCTAACCCCCTTGGTCACATAAGGGTCAACTAGAACAGGTTTCTGAGGACCACAAAGCTCTGTTTTGAATATCTCAAGTGATAAACTTGGATAACGATAACCCGTTTCAACAATTGACCATCCTCTTATTTTGTGTGTGTTCCACCTTGTCAGGTCACTGGGAAGCATAAGTGCCCTGAAAGCTAAATTGCTGATTTTCTCTCCCATGTATTTTTCCCAGCCCATGGGCATCTTCTCCATCCTGGAAGAGGAGTGCATGTTCCCTAAGGCAACTGACACTTCTTTCAAGAACAAGCTATATGACCAGCATCTGGGCAAGTCCAGCAACTTCCAGAAGCCCAAGCCTACCAAAGGAAAGGTTGAGGCCCACTTCTCCCTCATACACTATGCTGGAACAGTGGACTACAACATCACTGGTTGGCTTGAGAAGAACAAGGACCCCCTGAACGAAACTGTCATTGGGTTGTACCAGAAATCTTCACTGAAAACTTTGGCCTTACTGTTCGCCAACTATGGGGGAGCAGAAGCAGGTCAGCTCTTTGAAACATGTATTTCCACCAGTTTACAAAGTAGAAAAAGTATCATAAAAGGTAAAAACAAAAATATGAAATCTCTTATATTTATTTCTCCATTCTGCAGACGCTAGTGGTGGAGGCAAGAAAGGTGGCAAGAAGAAGGGTTCTTCTTTCCAGACTGTCTCAGCTCTTTTCCGGGTACAATACAGAGTTCAATATTTTTTCCTAAGATGAGGAGGAAATTCACTACTTAAAATAGTTTTTCCCCTTCCCCCCACCCACCCTCTTGCTTGTGATAAAAAAGAAGCCCTGAAGTTCTTGGGCCATGCTTTGATAGGAGTAAACCCACTGTAATTTAATTCTGCTCTTCCACTGAATGCACAAATTTTCTTTTCATCCACTTTTCACAAGACAGTGTCTTCAGATGGAACAACATTATACAGGAAACTTTTAAGAAACATCTAAAATATGCATATTTCCTTCAAGTGCCCTCCTCTAGCTTCAGAAACTTTGATTGCCCTGTAACAATATTCTTTCTGCCTGCTGGTTTCCTTCAGTCATATATCTAATATTTTTTTCATGATTAATGGATCAGCCTCTTAAGGTTGAAATACCATCACACCTTGGGATATGGATTTTTAAGATGTTGTATACTTGACAGTTATTTTCTCATAACCAACTCTTGCTGCCTGTCAGCACCATACATATCTAAACTCTCCTCGAGGCTATTTATTATATTCACCCTTCATTTAGTGTTCCCTTCTTAATATAAATTAGTTCCTTCTACAGAAAGATGTTGAGACTGCTTTTTTTGGAAACATGCCCTGGAGGTACCTGCCTCCCTCCACTAATTATACACAATAATCATTTACAAAAACTTACTCAGATGTTAGTTACAAACCAACAGTGCGATTCATCTCACCTCATTCTCATCTCACAAGTGAAAGATGCAACCTAGACATATAATACCCAGCTTGTTGTTTTTGTTCTATGTAGTGTGATCCACTTTAAATGCATACTGTAGTATGCTTCAAACTGGCTCACAGAGCTATCTGTATATCTCTCCTGGTACACATAATGGAAGATGGGTATCATTTCTACTGAACGCATTCCACTAGATTCAGAGAAATGTCACAAAATTGTATGTTTGAGAGTACAGTATCTCCTACAGACAAAACAGACAAATTTTCTACATTAAGTGAATAATCATATATGGAAACTCAGAAAAACTGGTGCAGGTGGTGTCAGCTCAGGATTCTGCAAGCTAATGTTTGTTTGATAATGTTATCTCATTACAGAGGGCTTGATGCTTACAGTGAGATTCTGTTTGCTAATATAAACTTTTGTTGATGATTCTCCCAGGAGAACTTAAACAAGCTGATGACCAATCTGAGAAGCACCCACCCCCATTTTGTACGCTGTATTATCCCCAATGAAACAAAAACGCCTGGTAAGAGACTCACTCACAGACAACCTTCAGTATCTCTTCTCTGCTGTACCACACTCTCATACAGCACTCATTTGTACTCTGAATTGCTAGGTGCCATGGAGCATGAGCTGGTTCTGCACCAGCTGAGGTGTAATGGCGTGCTGGAAGGGATCAGAATTTGCAGGAAAGGATTCCCCAACAGAGTCCTGTATGCAGATTTTAAACAGAGGTCAGACTGCATTCAATTCCTGGATTTTGTCCATCTTGAGCTTACAAAATTTAAACCTCACCTCTGGTGACAAAAGCATTCTCTTAGCATTTACATCTAGCAGTGGAGTTATGTTGTCTTTCTTGCAGGTAACTGATCACAACAACAGACCTGTTTATATTATATTTTGTCCCCCAGATACAAAGTACTAAATGCAAGTGCTATTCCAGAGGGACAGTTCATTGACAGCAAGAAGGCTTGTGAGAAACTTCTTGGATCGATTGATATAGATCACACTCAGTATAAATTTGGTCACACCAAGGTACCAGAAGTGTTCGTTTAAAGTACTATGTGTTTTTTGTTTTGTAAAGCTTGAGGGTGATACTGAGATTCTTCAGATAGCATGGGAAATCATCAAACAATAAGTTTAAAACACATAAACTAGATACTAATTGACTCAATACTTTGAAATTCATTGATGGAGAATGATTCTAATTAAGGGTTCCTAATTGAAGACAAAGTTGTAGAATAGAAGAATCAAGAATTAATAAGAACAATGGAATAAGATCTTATAGTTTTTCGTGTACTGTAATATGACTGTAATAGCCAGACCAGCATGACTGAAGATATTAAAGAGGAATTCACATGGTAACTACACATATTCTTTGTGTTTTTGCTCTTTCTCTTAACTTCTGTGATATCTGCCATGGAGGAACTGGTTACTTGGCTACAGTGACCAATGAGCACATATACTGCACTTATTTTCATTTTACGATCTAAGGTGTTCTTCAAAGCTGGGCTGGTTGGCCTTCTGGAGGAGATGAGGGATGAGAAACTGGCACAACTCATCACTCGCACACAGGCCAGGTGCAGGGGTTTCCTGATGAGAGTGGAGTACCAGAAAATGGTGGAGAGGAGGTAGACATTTCTTTAAATTAGGTTTACTGGGTTTTATATATTGTGTCATCCAAGTCTAAACTGCCAATATTTATTTGACTTACCTTTCAGAGAGTCCATCTTCTGCATCCAGTACAACATTCGTGCATTCATGAATGTCAAGCACTGGCCCTGGATGAAGCTGTTCTTCAAGATCAAGCCCCTGCTGAAGAGTGCAGAGTCTGAGAAGGAGATGGCAAACATGAAACAAGAGTTTGAGAAGACCAAGGAAGAGCTTGCAAAGTCTGAGGCAAAGAGGAAGGAACTGGAGGAGAAAATGGTGAAGCTGGTGCAGGAGAAAAATGACCTGCAGCTCCAAGTACAGGCTGTGAGTTTATCATTCACTTATCACAGAGAAAATAAGTTTGCATGTTCAGATTTTTCTTCATCAAACAGAAGGTCAGATTACAGAAGACCACAAGTCAGAAATTTGGAGATTTATCGATCATTTGTATGCAGGCTGTGAGTAATACCAGTGTGACTGATTCTAACTGACTGTGAACTTAAAGCTGACTACATTTTCAAAACACACATAGGAATTACAATTTAATGTAATTAAGTTGTACTTCACTAAGTGCTACAGTGAAAAACAGAACTAGCTATGGTAAGAACTGTCAGAAGGCTACAGTCATGGCATTTCAAGACCACATGGATACCAGAGGTTGAGACATTTCACAAAATCATAGAACAGCACATCCTGAGTAAGAAGGAACCCAAGAATGATTTGGTCCAACTCCCAGGTTAACACAAGATTTCCTCAAATTCAAACCAAGTTTCTGAGAGCATCAACAAAACAATTCTTGAATACTGACAGGTTCAGTTCCATGACCTGGGGAGCCTGCTCCAGAGCCCAACCACCCTAGTGGTGAAGAACCTTTTCCTAATATCCAATCTCCTGATGCAGCTTCATGCTGTTTCATCAGGGACTACTGCTGGTCACCAGTTCTGTGGTGTTAGCTGAGACCATTAGCACTTACATACATACTTACATTGAACTGCACCACAACAATTAAGAAATTTTACTTTTAGTATTATGTTTTTGTTCTTCTATTTATGTTTTCCAACCTCTCCAAAACAGAGAATGTCTATCCTTATAAATACATGACTTTAGGGAATACAAAAGAGGGCATTTCTTCTCTCTGTATCCCAATTAAACAAGATAATTTCTTCCCTTCCAATGTAGGTGGAGTTCATCTCATCCTCTAAAAGTACTCAGAAGCACTAGATAAAATTACACGGTACATCTATGAGGTTTTAATCCTGTGATTTATTTAATCCTGTGCATGTGCTCACTGCTGCCTCATGGCCAGCTTCTCGCCCACCAGGACCCCAAGTCCTTCTGCGCAGGGCTGCTCTCAAGCACATCTTCCCCCAGTCTGTATCAATACCTGGCATTGCCCCCACCCAATGGCAGCACCCTGTGCTTGGCCTTGTTGAACCTCATTTGGTTCTCATGGGCCCACTTCTCCAGCCTGTCCAGATTCCTCTGGATGGCTTCCCTTCCCTCCAGTGTATCAATGGCACTGCTCAGCTTGGTGTCATCTGCAAATGCATAGTCCAAATGACTCAATTTCTGACAGCTACTGGATGTGACAAGAGTATTGCAGACAAAAAGCTGAAACTGATGGATGCTGAGTGTTTTTTGAGAAATGGTGAAAATCTAAAGCAGAAACAGTTGCTCTAAAAAGCCAGTAGGGTAAAAAATAGTATGAATAAAAAATAGTATGAATGTGAGCATCACTTTGGTATTTGTATGTCTGTCTTGGCATATGATTATCACTCAGCATTTGTAAATGCTTGTAATTAGAAGAGAGATTCATATAATTAAACCCACATTTACACACTCTGTTAATTATTATGGGTTAAGATACATATACACATGTATATGTGTTTTAATACTCAGCTCTTCCTGTAGATAAGAAAAGGTTTTGTTTGGCATTAAGTTTCAAAACCAGATGTATTAAAAGGAACAATTTAAAATAAATTAAAAATTGTCTCTATTTCTCCTGGAATATAAAACAAACATTTGACTAAAAAATTGCTAGTAAGGAATCTAAATTTATGAAGCTAAGAGTCACACTATTCGCCCAAAGGGCATATCTGAAAAAAATGCATTTCCCCTCAGGAAGCTGATGCATTGGCTGATGCTGAAGAAAGATGTGACCAGCTCATCAAAACCAAAATCCAGCTGGAAGCCAAAGTAAAGGAGGTGACAGAACGAGCTGAGGATGAGGAGGAAATTAATGCTGAGTTGACAGCCAAGAAGAGGAAACTGGAGGATGAATGCTCAGAGCTGAAGAAAGATATAGATGACCTGGAGTTAACGTTGGCCAAGGTTGAGAAGGAAAAGCATGCCACTGAAAACAAGGTACGAGGCAGAAGTTGTCACTCTGGAAAGAATTCTGCTTTGATACACAGTATGAAATTGTGAACAACATTTTTTATATACATTTACTTCCCACTTGTCAAAGGTGAAAAACCTCACAGAGGAGATGGCAGCCCTGGATGAGACCATTGTGAAGCTGACAAAAGAGAAGAAAGCCCTCCAAGAGGCCCATCAGCAGACACTGGATGACCTGCAGGCTGAAGAGGACAAAGTCAATACGCTGACCAAAGCTAAAACCAAGCTGGAGCAGCAAGTGGACGATGTAAGCAAAATGCATATAGCCATTACAGGACAGTTGTGGAGATAAATATGGCTGGCAGAGCACTGATGATCCCATTCTGTTTAGCTGGAAGGGTCCCTGGAGCAAGAGAAGAAGCTGCGCATGGACCTTGAGAGAGCAAAGAGGAAACTTGAAGGAGACCTGAAGTTGGCCCATGATAGCATAATGGATTTGGAAAATGATAAGCAGCAGCTGGATGAGAAACTGAAGAAGTAAGTGAGGTTGTGGGACACCTGAGTGCTGGGCAGGTGCACGTAGGAGGTTTTGTTCAGGTGTTAACACAGTTTGTTTTGTGCAAAAGGAAAGACTTTGAAATCAGCCAAATCCAGAGCAAAATTGAGGATGAACAACTTCTGGGCATGCAGTTACAGAAGAAAATTAAAGAGTTGCAGGCAAGTCTCTGGTTCTTTTCCTCTATCACACAGGCTGAGGTCAGGTATGAAGGGTTGAAGGATATGGGTGTGAAGGGTTCCTGATGCTCCCCAGGCCCGTATTGAGGAACTGGAGGAGGAAATCGAGGCAGAGCGAACCTCTCGGGCCAAAGCAGAGAAGCACCGAGCTGACCTCTCCAGGGAGCTGGAGGAGATCAGTGAGCGCCTGGAGGAAGCAGGAGGGGCTACGGCAGCTCAGATTGAGATGAACAAGAAGCGTGAGGCAGAATTTCAGAAGATGCGCCGTGACCTGGAAGAGGCCACGCTGCAGCACGAAGCCACGGCTGCCGCCCTGCGGAAGAAGCATGCGGACAGCACAGCGGAGCTTGGGGAGCAGATCGACAACCTGCAACGAGTCAAGCAGAAGCTGGAGAAGGAGAAGAGTGAGCTGAAGATGGAGATTGATGACTTGGCCAGCAACATGGAGTCTGTCTCCAAAGCCAAGGTACAGGATACTTTTATTAGCACTTTCTCAACAGTATATTTATGTTCAATCTTACCTTGCTTCAACATTGTCAGCTGTATTTTCTCAGAATAGAACAGATAAAACCCTAATTAATGCACATTGTCGCTAAATATGTAAAGTGTATCTTCTGGCCACTTTTTCCTTCTGTAAATAAAATGGAGCCTGGTATTCACTCTGTTTTCTAATGTATGTTTGATAACTAGGCAAACCTGGAGAAGATGTGCCGCACTTTGGAAGACCAACTGAGTGAATTTAAAACAAAGGACGAGCAGAATCTGCGCATGATCAGTGATCTCAGTGCTCAAAGAGCTCGCCTTCAAACAGAATCTGGTTAGACACCTCATCTCTAGCTTGGAAATAATATATTAACCTTAAGGTCATAATTTAATTTAAGATTGGCTGCTGAAATATTTTCTGACTAAAAA